GCTGGCAAGCTGCTGATGAAGTGCACGGTGTGAATAAACCAACAGGGTGCAAGTACATGTGTCTGCACCGTCACGTTGCATTAAATGTTTCGTGGAGCACATAAATCCCAAACATATACCGTTATCAGCGCCAGCGCCTGGCCCTGTTGGTCATCTATCCTGTACCGGAAGTCGTGGACCATGTCGCCATTGCCGCCTGGAAGGCGTCATCTTGCACCATATCTTTGGGCGTCAGGGCGCGAAGTCCCAGAGCTTCCTTGACGGGCTTTGCTCCTATAAACCTTTTCATCAGATCACTTGCCTTACCAGCGTATTTGCAAGCTCACAAGCTTACCAGCCGCGCACTGTGGATGCGCTTCTTTTGCAATATAGCTTTGTTTGCTTGACTTGCTCGCCGTCAGGTTTGTGTCTCCAGCGGTGTGAGAGTTGGTGTGGAGTGTCAGCGCCGGTGTCAGCGCTGGCGTCAAGTGTGGCTAGGCGGTATGCTCCTAAAAACAAGCGACCTTCTCTGACCTGCATGACCTCTAAATAAGACACTGTTAACGTCCCTGCGGTCAAGAAAAATCCAAACAAGCGTCAAAAAACACCCCAAATAACCAAGTTCCTATTAAAAGGGTGATTTGGTTTCAACGTCGGCCTGAACTTCATACCTGGCCTAAGACCACTGGAGCATCAGCTAATTGTCTAAGAAACTACTTCAAAAGGTGTATGGCTTCATCTAACAATCTGTTGTACATCAGATTCAACGGTTCCTAGAGACTGTCTTCGCTACCAGCCACACGCCAGTGACTGGCAAGGTACACCTAGTTGCATTATACTAAAAGGCTGGCTAATCAATTCACTCACTGTAAAAACTTTGCAAACTATAACAGCTTTGCAACGTGTGGCGCGGTATGTACGCAGAGTTTGGAAGTAATTCTAGGAAGAACTTTGTGGAGGAGGGTCAACTTTGCCTCACCTGAGCGCGTCCTAAGAAACTAATAGCGCCCTCGCAGCGAAAACATCCATGCATATAACTATATATGTTCCCGAGCGTCTGCCATAGGGTTTTGCGTCACTTCATGGATGTACACGGCTTAACACTACGCATGATCAGTCGCATGATCGACGTAGCCCGTGTTGATCTGGTGCCAATTACTGCCAGTACTGCCTGGCCTGAGCAAGTAAGCAGTAAAGTTAAACCATGCGGCAGACGTAACGACTTCGTATCGGAGGCCTTCCATGACAAAATTTGGTCTTCCATGACAAAATAATGTAAACACGGTTCCACCCTCAAGTTACTTGAAGTTTCGGATATTTTCAAGACGGTACGCTGTAGAACTGTCTTCAGCAGTTTATATCTTGTAGCCAAGTGATCCGAGTCTTATTTATAGCTCTCATATTGATAAACTTACCATGATGTGATCCACCTTTTCGCAATTTCGATTTTTTCTTTTTGTTTGTCTTGTTTGCCTCGTGACCTGGGACCTTTGCTTACATGACCTACCTTGATAAGTAACAAGGTAAATGTGTTTTGGTTTTGAGCCTCGCCGAAACACGCGTAAAGGGCGCTGTGAACGATACCTCTGAATATCTCAGGACTGGGTGGCGATTTCGAGACGCGGTTCAGGACATTCGATTTGATGAAAGATTCTGAGCAAGAATTCTATCACAATGATCATGATCTGAGAGCAAAGACCAAGGGCATGTTTTAGTTGAAGCTAAAACAAGTGTATAATCTTTGTAATTCGCATGCGGTATCACCATTTCAGTACAGCACACAGGTGGAAGCAAATTGATCACTATACCCTGTCCATCTCGGACGACATTATAAAAGGTCACGTTTGGTCACACGGAATGCTTCCCGGAAGTTGGCGCAATTGCCCACTTCGTTCTGATGAAACAAAAGAAACAGTCAACATGGCACAGGCATTGCTGTACCGGCCTACATAAAACTTTTAGTAGCTGAACCGCACTTTTTCAGCATTTCATTTCACGCACCGCAGTGCATCTCAGTACAAAAATTGCTGGCGTCAATTTGGTATTGACTTAAAGGGGCCAAGAGCTTTCTTTGGACATGTGGATACAGACGGCAAAGTATGTGTTTCAGTGATCGCAGACAAATTCGTATGCAGCATGTCACTCGTGTTTACGCCTAAGACTATGTGAAATGTATAATTGGCTGTGTTACTCTTTGCCCTCACAACCTCAGGCGTGATAGAAGGCTCTCCCTAAGTCCTTTGGGATCAAGAGACACTGGGTCTAGTAGCAATTTAGCTCGGCAGTCGGCACCTCATATGTACGTAATCTTCTCCAGGCAAACCACTTGAATAACGAATCCCAGGTGCATGCCACCCCGTATTCCAATCCTTACAAAATTGCCTGTGGTCTGAGCACCAGACTGGACATGAGGCTATGCCATTGTCTTTGAGTGTGTGAGCTTCATTAAATGTTGCAAGGGTCTGGACGAGCTCCTTCCAGGAAGCATTGTCCATCGGACTGCCAGCGTTATGCAATGAATCTGAGTCCATCTCCAAGGTGAGAGATGATCTCCTCCAGAGGAGATGAAAAGATCTTCTCCTTTTAGGCGTAGAGGTCATCTGCTTCCTGACTTGCGACATCGTTAAAACAGTTGTGGGGGACTAAGCGTCAGTCGTTGCCATGCCTGTTTTAAGTTGCGTTGGACAGCTGTTTTTCACTTAGTTCATCACTTTTTAGTTGAGATACACGAAATACCAATGTTTCAATTATTGAAGATAATGTGAATGAGGGAAAGGCAATACCGCGCACAAATGTGTTCGTTTTGATAGAGGTTTTGGCTTAACAGCTGTGTTTGTCACACTAAAGTGGGAGTTTATATTTGCTATTCTCAGATTGTTTCGCTAGTAGCCTTTAGCTTATCACAATAATTGTGGTGGAGCATGTTATCGCAGCCGTTCTGAAAGGCAAAGCGCAATATTTTGGTCACCCCTCTAGCTGCCGGTCATGCTGCAGTGTACCATATTTTGGTCATCCCCTCTAGCTGCCGGTCATGCTGCAGTGTGACATATTTTTAATATGTCAACTCATATTGCCTGCGCCTTTTTCTTTCCTTTAGATGGGTGCTACAGAGCTTAGCGAACACGCCAAGTTCATTGAAACAGGGCTCTTATGTTGAAAATGTTGTCGTCCAGAAGTGCGTACGTGGGCCGTCGGTCTATCACGACATTTTATTAGGCGTATGTTTATACGTCACCATATGCTATACTCCACCTTGACTACCCTTATAAATATAATGCCGTTTCCGTCATGAAGTTCCTTGGTAAGACATTCAATTACCTATTGCGCAAAAGGTAACAACTGAGATTACTACCTCGATCAAACTATCTGTGCAGCCTAATTTTCTCGGGTAGGTGCCCATCGCATCAGATTCTTGAGAAGATCACACATGCTGGATGAAATCAGACGATGCAACTGGGTGGAAATCGGCATCTTTAACCTGTCGGGTAAATAACCACGTTTCGAGCTAAAGCAACTACGAAACCTGAGCTGATGAGCATTCTGGGAAGCTTTATTTCTTTGAAGTTCTGTATTCTGTCATTTGTAATCATAATGTTGTCGTCAGTAAACCGGTTTCGCAACAAAAAGCTGCCTGCTCGGGATCTGTCTGACCCGGCCCCCACCATCTTGCAGAGGTTGCATAGCATTCCTAGCATTATCTTGTAGCTGACATCTAACAGCGTCATAGGATGACATGAGTTAATCTGGCTTCTAGGGATGGGGTTGATGTCCTTCCCCCTCATGGTGCCTGGCTTCTAGGGATGGGGTTGATGTCCTTCCCCCTCATGGTGCCTGGTTTTCTAGGGATGGGGTTGATACCCTTCCCCCTCATGGTGCCTGGTAGCTTTATGCTACAAACCAAACAAAACATAGTTTTCTGCAATGGCTCACAGATTATCAGCTCAAGAACACTCGGTAAGTGGAAATGCTTGAGGCAGTCGAAAACAGTTTAAAGAATTCAACGGGGATCAAACACTGTCTGGTGTTTTCGCGCTCATCACAGTCTTAAGAGCCTGTTTAAACGCCTGTGTCGCGGGAACATCTTCAGTCTTTAACTCTCAAGAAGAGTATGCAATTGCTCTGCCACATTGCGGTTATAAAATAGGTAACTGGCGTTGTTTTTACACATGACATGAAAAGTGACGTGGATCGACATTGACACTGTGGGTATTTGCGGGTACGGTATTCTTTGGTTGGTGGTTGGCTGGTCGGTGATATTTCTCGTGATTTTTAGTGATTCTCTATTGGCAACCAGCATGTAAGCCTTGCATTTCCTCTTGTCTTAGTTCTTCCAATTGCTGTTGCTTTTTCGTTTTTTCCCCATTTCAATATGCGTTAGATCATTCATCAAGTTGATTATTCCGTAGGCATTCCTAAGAAAGGAGTGTTCTCTTCTCATTCATAGCGCACAAGATTGTTTCGGGGTTAAGATTCACTACAATAATTCCGAAAACCATAGTATCGCTTGCTGTGGACTGAACTGGGTGCTCATTTGTATCATAAATTAGATCAGATTATGTTACGTCACTGTAGCCAGTGAGAGGAATGAATAACCCTCTGAAGAAAATCGCGCCTCGCCCGAACAGACCAACATTAATCATTCGCGAGTGCGAAGTGCTCTATTTGTAACCATACCGAAAACAGCAACGCATTGTCCGATCCGCACGTTGTTCTTGCAGAATTTTTAAAAAGAGCTGGCAACTGAAAGCTTCCACCAGCACGTGCCCCGGACGTTACGTGGTACAACTAGGAGCGAGTTGCCGCGATGCGGCACGTGACGCCTGCTTCTCCTCTGGACAGCTGTCGACAGTGGAGCATGCCGCCGCGTCCGGGGCCAAATATTTACAGAGCTCAGAGGCGTCACTGGCTGTGGCGGCCGTGCTCGGACCACCGTTCCCCGAAATGAGTGGTGGGCGCGTCAGAAGCCGTGCTCTGACCGGCGCTGGCGGCCCGGGCCGACGCGTCACGCGCCAAAACCGGCCGCCGGTGGCGGGCGGTGCGCACTCCGCGTCCGGACGCGGCAGCACGGGGCGCGGACACTGCGACTGGCCTTCGGACCGTGCCGCCAGCCGACGGCGTCACATAGTAGCCGTGACAGGCGTCGCCCAACAAGCTGACAGGTGAGATGGTGAGATGTGGGGGTATGTCGTCCCAGATGGCCGGTGAGCGTGCCGTGTGCCTGTGTTGGAGGTGCAGACTGTGTCGAGTCCTCGCGCTGCTGCGCCTGGGTCGGAAGAGTGGGCGCGTAAGGAGTTTGTGAGGTGCGTTGCAGGAATGACTGTAATTTTGAGAGGTTGCTGTTGCAGTAAACAGAATACCCGACCTGAGACTCCTGTATCTCCTGTTTAAGTATGAGTTAAGCCTCGGTCGATTTCTCAATGGTTTGAAGCTTGCGGATGGGGTGTTACGTAACATCTGATATCAAGGCGTGATAATGCCCGATAATCACCATGCCCGTAGATCAATGGTGATCACAATATCGAGCGATAAATGCAGATAGGACAATCGGCCACGCTTACTTCCTTGCGTGAACAAGCGACGCCCTTGGCGCTGGTGGTGCCGCCATCCGCGATGTGACACTGACTTACATCTGAACGCTGTGAAGCAGACTTCACTTAGCATTTGCAGCCTGTCTAACGCTGATGTCAGCCAAATTACCCTCGCACTGCTGTTTATCTCACGCGGAACATATAATAAAAACGTACAGTTTTGATTATCGATTGCTCGGCTGCGCGAAGGGCCGATGCCGTTGGTGTCTGGTACGGCCTTTTGCCGCTTGATATCGATCAGTATGTGACTGATGCGCAACGTGTCCTGATTTAATTGTTTAAGTTTCAATTTTCGTGCCAAATGGCAGTTCCCTGCGTATCAGGGCGCCACATCCATTGTTGCTGTAGCTTTGCGGCATCTTTTCGACGGTTTGGTCTTTCCAAAACCTGTTAGTGCCACCGTCTTAAACCCCACGACATGCGCCCTCTCGCGAGCGCTGCGCCCGTCTCCGTTATCGGACAGCCGCGAGCGTATGTCGTCCATTGTCACGACTAGATGGAACCCATCGTATGTCGTGTATTGTCACGACTAGGTGGAACCCATCGTATGTCGTGTATTGTCACGACCAGGTGGAACCCATCGTATGTCATATATTGTCACGGCTAGGTGGAACCCATCGTATGTGAAAATTACACGGCAATTCACATAGCCATCTTTGCTGTGCCCGGCTCACCAAAGCGTCCACGCACAGACATGTGTACGCTATGGAGTCGGTGTATCAGACAAGCGGTTCCCGCTGACTTTGCTGCGCGGAGAGGCGACGCCGTCGGCGCGGGTAGTGTTGCCACCAGCCATGTAACGTTGACTCGCATCTCAGCAATGTGCAGTGGATGTTAGTTCACGTTCGTAGGCTGTTTGACACCAATGGGTTACTTGAACGCGCTGCTCGTGCAACGCTTCTCCATGCACTCGAACAGCCAGCATTTAGTTGTGGATCATGCTTGTGCCGGACGGAGATGTGACGCCGTTGTCGATTTTGTGCTGTCTCCGGTCATATAGTATTGGCCGGCGTCTCTGTGATGCACCGCTTGTCTCGAAGGTAGCATCCCACTTTTTGCATTGTTAACGTAGACCACGCGGGTCTGGGTTGATCGGCAACACCAGTTATCTCGATATCCTTCTGAAAAGCTAAAAAATTGGATTTGAATAAGACGCTTCGATGGAAGAAATTTCACTGGGCTCCCTCTCCAACACCATAACATTAACAATTCCTATTCGTTTGGGTTTTTCAAACGTGTGTGTTATGTAATATCCTCAGTATACTAATGCACCAAAATCATTGTGTAATAAATAGTATGATAGCTTGAAACCCCCTAATTATGAAAAATATGTACAAATATGATCCCATTCTTACGCGAACTCAAGGCAACGTTCCACTACGGCTTTGATTTGTGCCCTGTGGCGTTCAGCGTTGTGCCTCTGTTTTAAGGGTACCTTGGCTTCTGTATATTGTTTGCTGCACTTTCTACTCACTAATCACCATAACCCTGACATGATGATAAATAAACTTGGTATTCACTAACCATCATAATCCTCACATAGTGAATTCACATTTACACTCATGGTCAGTCTAAAAATGGTTTAATGAATTTAGTAAACATTTTAGTTTGCTTTTGCCCACTTTGCTTTCCCAGTGCACAATGTCACCATGACACATTTCATAAATAGGTACACTGGATTGAGCCACATGTGTGGAGAACGGAACTTGTGTAAATGTTGACCAAGCTGTTCACAACGTTCCACTCACTGTGCAATGGCTGGTTTTCCCAAAGCCTTACATAATGGGCACAGAAAGACACTAAAAGATATAGCAATGGTCGACTGAAACGCCTCACTGCTTGGATGCCAGGATTGGTTGATATTTGATGTCTACCACCACCTCAACATCTTTTTTTCTAAGCGTTCTCGGTGCCGGCGTCAATGGGCAGTCACGGGCACGTGGGGCCGACGCTATGTTCAGCGTTGCTCGGGGCTTGCTGCATGTTTTTAACGGCTTGGCGTTGGTGCAACCTGTTCCTCCTGCAAATACGCAGTGCCTTCCTTCCAATTGCCAAAACATGGTCTATCACGCACGTTGTGAAGGCTGACCGCGTCTTATGTCCGAGTTTCACGGTAATTCCTGCAGTGACATCATCGCTAAGCAAACAGTTTGGGGTCAAGTACTAGGATAAACCGGGAAGTTATGGTTTTGGGAGGCTTTGCTATACAACGCTACCTGCGAACGCTTTTGCTGAATTCCTTCATAACATGCATAAGTGCAACATTTAACGAAACTCGTGTGTTTTTTTACAACAGCAGCTTTGTTAATACGCTCAGCTCAAATTAAAGTTGAATTCATGCACCCTGTAATCCTCTGCAGCATTGTTAAGTTGAGATGGTTGTAGTAACCGTGCTCGATTAAAGGAAGTTCCTCAGCTTCAAGGCACATTTCAAAAACGTACTTTAGTGAAACCTACAGACTAGTTACTTCGAATAGTACCACTGGGTAGTGCCACTGCAGCACCGGCAAAGTACAGAATACCCTGTTTTCTTATCTTCCAGTACAATTTACGCGGTCAACGCTTTGTAACACCACTACGCTTCTTCCCTGCAGCCGCGACCACCGTTGTCACGACCATCACTGGGCGCACCTCTGATGGCGCGAATAAAGCGTTTGTAATTGACCCAGCGGGCAGAGGACTGTTATCGAGAAGTGCGTTAGTTGAAGTCTGAACCAGGGCTTCGCATGGATCATAAGATGTTTCATTCCCAAGTTTTTTAAAGCTAAAAAAACTATAAACCAAACAAAAATATCGCAAAGGCCCGCTGTGGTGAGCGCCATAGGGGAGATATCAAGGTCCTAGATCAACGTTTCGTTGAATTCGCGGGATGGCAGCTTCATGTTCGCGTATCTTTTTCTAAATAAAGTATTTCAAGTCTTCGTGGCATGTATTACACAAACGTTATGACACGTGAGTGTGTGGCAAATATTGCGCAATACACACGTTGGAAATAGCAAGACAAATTGAATGTATTACTTTCATGGTGGTGAGTAGGGAGTCAACTGAGATTTCCTCTGCAGGGTCGGCCAATTAAAAATCAAAATTTAAGCCATTTAGAAGGACATTAGAGTGTTGGTGTTACTAATCAAATCGCACGCATCTTCTGTAGCGGGTGAACTACAAAAAGACGGGATACACACTTGAATCATGATATACGAAAGATGCGCAAGCCGTATGTAGCTTACGTACCGTTTATGGTACGCACAGCGAATGAACTAATTTATGATAGCTTCCGACAGCTGGTCAACTTGAAAGTTATCAACTTGGCTGATGATGTGAAAAGTGGCGGCGGGATCTATTCACTGTTCACTCTTTTATTCTCACCTCTGTCAGTATATAAAAACATGAGGGAGCATATGGGCAATGCAGATAAGCAAAATGGAACAAACCAGTTGTGATGGTGTTCAACCGTATGTTACGTTGATCTTATTATGCTATCCTTTTGCCATAGCATTCGTGAACTGATCTGAATTACATTGCGTTGTTCGAGGGAGCGTTGCGTCGATTAAAGATCAAGGCCCGATTCATGGATCCGGAACATGCAACACCACACAGGTTTTGGCCGGTTTTTCGACACAGTCTGAAGCGCATGCGATAGCAGTTATCGTTGAATCGATCACGCAAGCTGTCCTGACGTCAATGGCCCGGTTTCTGGATGGCCATACAGAACCCTTGGCTCGGCTTATTAAGCCATTTCAACCTTCGTATTGATCCAAACCACATAAACTGTGCCCATCGTAGGAGCAGCGGGCGGGAGCGACGCAACGTAACGAACGGGAGCAACGCAACGCAAAGAGCGGGAGCGTAATCACAAAGCCAGTTCCTGTTGCTGTCCAGCTGGCCCCAGCGGAACTAGCGAGTGATGATGAATTAACACTGGGGCGCCACCCATCCCTATTCAACAATTTTAGCGAAAGTCCTGGCAGAGGCCACGTCGTGGGCTGCTTGCACTTGAGTCAAAGTAAATTCAAAATTGACTGCAGAATCGGTCTTTTTTGATCACTTAGATAGAACCGGTGTTCTGTCACTCGCATGCACAATCGTTCATGTCAGTGGACCGCATGCAAAATACACCTGAGTTAACTGTGGGGACAGGGGACAGTTACCTTATTCCGGACAGGCAGCCCCATAGATTTATGCCGCGTAACGGGGTAACGTTCCATCGAGGGATGTCCGAAGCTCATTTTCATCCGTGGCGGCGCCTTTGCGCACCATGTTTCTCACCTTCCACCAGATTAGCATGTGTTCGTATGTTGATTTACTACCCATTCATTGGACCCTATGTTTAAGGCTACGTAACCTGCAGCGGACCCTATGTTTGAGGCTTTGTTATGATGATTTGGGCTCCGGGACGCACCGACTATGACGGTCATATGGTGCCCATTTGAGGCTACATTATCTGCATCGGACCCTGGGTCTGAGGCTACGCAATCTGCATTCCTTTTCGCAAAACATGAACACGAATTGGTTATCTATACCGTTTTGTGTGCAGATTTTGACTGAATTGTAAAGTTTGCACCTAAATGCCGAGGGGAAACACTTGTGCTTGTACCTCAGTCCTCCAAGGTCGACCTGAAAAGCACATAACTATTAAAAACTCTACCTAGCACGAGACGTCGAACCGACTTTGCTGTAGTACTTTCGTCATCTTGTAGTGGGCATGTCCGTGCTGCAACAGTCTCCTTCAACAAAAATTTTAGCTGCTCTTTTGAATACAAGGCAATGTGAAGCATGCTGTGAAAATCACCACCCTTGCATAATCCATCTTCGCATATTCTTGGCAGAAATAATCATGCGTGTATAATTTGCGTGGTTATAATCTTTGCCAAATTTCAAGAGAGTTGCCTCCCAATAACTGGTCCTGAAACAACCCATGTATATCTGATATACCGATCATTTTGACCCGATACGTGTGATCGGTGTTGCTTTATTTCTAAGACTGGGAGATAAATTGGGATTTGGGCTTTAACTAGACTTAAGCGGACAGCCTGGCATAAAAATGCCACTTTACACGAAAAGCGCACTGTACAGGCAGATTTGAAGGGAACAAAATCGTATTTTGGGATATTGGCATTGCTATTATTTAGTGGCTTCACCCGTGATAAGTATGGAACATGTTTCGGGAAGTCAGAAATTTTCAACGATCTCTCCCAAACCATTCCATAGAAACCAGCAAAAAAGCCTTAGAGCGGGAGCAATTCACTAGTCCCCTTCTCCCCCTCCCCGAAGCCGTTTTCAATGCACCGCCTGTATTTAAACAACTGCGCTTTCCCCGGAGAACCGAGGCAATGTTATTGATAGATCCGACCTGTGTGGCTACCTCATTGCACTCTTCATCCGAATACAGGCCCGCCAGCTCCTCCGTTTATAAACACGAGTCACCTTCCAGAAGGTCAAAGTGTATAAACATCGCCTGTTCATGCGTGGAAGATGGTGGTGTTAGGTATGCGCTGAATTCTAAGATCTGATGCAAATTCTTATTTACTAATGTTTGCTTATTCTTGGGTGCGTCCTGAGCACAGCGTGGTGCATGCGAGGCTTTGAAGGCTTCAGTTGGCTCCACCTTGTCATCGAAAGGCCTCTGCTCTCCCGGTAAGCCTATGATGTTGTGTGTCACGACACACGTGTTTGGAATGGCGGGGCTCACGGTATTTCGTGACCCGTGACTGCCCGCGAGGTAAAAAGCAGTCCCTCGCATTTTCATATTTTCATCATCATAAAAAGCATCCCACGGTCGCATTTGGCAAAAATGAAATGGCAATCCATAAATATATCCGGTTAGACAATTAACTTTCTCAGGTTTAACTCGGAATCCTTACGTTTAAATTTTTACATGATGACAGGTGTCACGGGTTACAAACAATTGCCCCCCCCCCCCGTCATAAGCATGAAGATCTTCAAATGACTTCACGACCATCGGTGATCGCGACATGGTCTGCATGTTTTGCGACTGCCGCCAAACAGAGGAGCGTTCTCGCGCAGTCCTGATTCATACCATGGCGTTGATAAACGCTGAGGATTAGCGCAAGATAAGACCAAGGTCAGTTTAGATCTGGTCAAGGCTGGGCCACCGCATAGGACGTGTTTGTTTTTGTTCTTCCCATCCACATGATATATGTAGACCATTGGTTTGGAGACGTGTCAGTTGTACTGACTTATTTGTGACAACGGGATAACACATTTTTCTATTTTGATGCTTCTAGGACGGCCTGTTATGACCTGTGATGGTGTGCTGAGGTATTGTCGCATGCTGCGACTGACACTGACGAACGGCCAAACCATTCACCGAATTACAGTAAATCTAGCAGTAGCCAGAAGGGAATTCAGTAATCCTGCAGGTAAAGCCGAGAACGGTGCAAGGTTTCGTTGATCACGCCGTAACGCGGTGGCATCGCTTTTCATCGACATTTGTGCACTCCAGAGTCTGCAAAATTGATCATCTTTTAATGTCTGAAAATTGGGTAGATCCGCCTGGCGCAGTTCAGAAGCAATGCCAGATGCTCTGAATTCGTCCGGAAAGGGCTTACCCTCGCTTAAGCCTGAGCTCGAGATCTGTGCTGTTCGTTTTCAGCGCGGCCCGCTACTTACGCACTTGTAGCCTCCTCCCGCCTCATGTGTACCTGTGCATATAATGCCAGCGGGTGTTTAGCCGCGCTCCCGGGAAAAACGAGGTATGGGGCTCGACCACCCGCGGTGTCTGCCCTTCCTGCGAGGGCTGCGGGCAGGCGAGGCCATACAGCCTCAGCAGCTGGGTGGATCGTAAACCCCAATGTCAGTAATGCTGTTTGCGCTTACTGCTATTGCGTGAAACGCCCAGAACTCTTGTAAATCGCACCAGAGTAATCGTCGCGCTGCACTGCTCCTCACCAGAGCAGTCACCGCGCTGTACCGCCCCCCACCAGAGCAGTCACCGCGCTGCACTGCTCCCCACCAGAGCAGTCACCGTGCTGCACCGCTCCCCACCAGAGCAGTCACCGCGCTGCACCGCTCCCACTAGAGCAGTCACCGCGCTACACCGCTCCCCACCAGAGCAGTCGCCGTGCTGCACCGTTCCCCACCAGAGCAGTCACCGTGCTGCACCGTTCCCCATCAGAGCAGTCGCCGTGCTGCACCGTTCCCCATCAGAGCAGTCACCGTGCTGCACCGCCCCTCTGCAGACATGATGCGACTGCTGCTTCTGCTGGTTGTGCTGACTGAGCTGGGACAAGGCTCGGTCGCGCAGCGGATCAGCACCGAGCGCGTGGACCTGTACCAGGGCGACCGGCACCTGGTGCACCTGGACAACACCACCTTCTTCGGCGCGCTGCTGGACAAGCCCCACGCCTGGGCTGTGGAGTTCTACAAGGACTGGTGCGGACACTGTCAGAAATTCGCGCCGATCTGGTCGGAGGTGGCGCGCCAGACCAAGGGTGAGGCACGGACTGATGCGGGCTGCTCTGCTGGGGTCCGCACACAGACAGCGAGGTTTGAACAGGGCCGACAAGTGGGCAGTTAGGGTGAAGTTCTTACAACTCAGCCTGAACATTTTGATCGGATGGCTTTGTGGGCTAACACCCGCGCTAAGCAGTGCTTGTTGTGGAAAGCTCTGACCTTCATCCGTCGATCGCGAAATGTCGGGTCAACGGGAAAGTTTGCGATTAAAGGCCGAAGGGGAGGCAGTGTCCGGCCCGGCACGGGCCGCTCTGCCCTCCGGCGTCACGCGACCTTTAGCGCGACCGCTACCAGTGGCCACAGGCAATACGAGTCAGGCACAAACAACTCCTAAATGATTCAAGTGCCTAAAATAATTCAAACCCAACCCAATACGGGCAAGTGAGCAAGGAAGAGCACCTGAGGCAGGTGCTCGTCTAACCAACGAAGCCATCGGGACGGGCAATGTTCACTGTTTGTTCCTTTTTTGTAAGCGCTGCGACGCCTGGCCCTTATTGGGACGAACGATTCTGACGTGTTCGTGATACACCTGACTTGTAGCAGCACTGTGACAGGACTGCCCATGCACGGAGGTGCACTCAAGCGGTGCTCTAATGACGGGTAAAGAGAAACCAGCAACGCACGGGGTTTTATTCTCAGGAATTATTTGACTGGTCAAACGATAGCATTACTCGCCGAGTCCCCAGTTGGCACTTCTGAAGGCTACCCCATGGCCCATTGGGGTGGTGGCATCAATGTTTTTGCGGTAATCTGCGCTTAACAAGACTGTGGCCCAGAGCTACCCGTGGTAAGTGTTTGATTGCATTTCTAAGAAAAAAATCAGCACGGGCACCCCCAGTCGTAAGATACCTTGGCGTCTTATTTGTTTGCCAACAAGACTTTAAGTCAATCAAATTCTGGCCTCCAGACTCCAGTTTGCAAAATCATCGGAGGCATATTCGACGTTTAGCTATCTTACCTTGCTGCCGATTGTGCTCAAATTTGGTGTGGGAACATTACGTGGCAGATATACGAAACTTTAGTTGTTGATTTTCCCGCGAGAGGGCTTAAAACCGTCGGGCCGAACCAAGATTACTAGAGAAGCGCCAGCAGTGCGGGGTTTTGGGAGCTCCCGTGTGGAGGAACGCAGGCTTGATTTTAACTGCATCGTGATCTAGAATGATAGCTACCGGTCTAAAAAAAAAAACGTTGGGCCAATTCCACTGCTAACAATTATTTTGTTCACATCCGGATTTTCATACTCACAAGTTCTAAGCTCCGAATGAGGTTCAGTGCAAGCGCGTGCTGTTCATCAAACCTTTACCTAGTGCGCTTGACAGTTTGACTGCTGTTGTTGGACGCGCCATTACCAACTGTCCGTACCAGAAAATATGTGTCGCAGGTATTGGCCACGTGCTGAGGGCGTTTGCAGGTTAGACGTTGTAAGGTGCTGGCAGAGTTATTTGATGGAACCGATGTTGTTTACGAATGCATGCTATGGTGTGCAGATACCATAGCAGGCGTCACACCTGTCTATCTCGCGCGCCAGCGCACTGTAAGCCTTACTGCTAAGCTGCGGGTGTGTTTTGAGGGTTCAAGGGTGGGGGACGTGGGATCCACATGTCGCCTGAAAGGCGACGCCCCTTTGTACTTAACCATTGTTATGTTCCTCCATGTATTCTTAGTTGAGCAGCTAAGCATGCGTGTCAGACACTAAGAAAGCATTACATTGACTGAAGTATCGAATAAGTTGAGTTATTGGCGTAAGAGATGCTTTGGTTGTGCGCAGATATTTCATAACAAGGTGATCTCTGTAGCCAAACCTCTCGGAGCGTGTGGCACGCAAGACATTCGTAGATCAGACACGGGATCGTTAGAGGGCGCTCGTGCTGCTATCACATGTGCCGCCGCTGGTTTGCGCCCTTTCTAGACTGGGGTGCCGTGGTGAAGGTGGCCGCCATCAACTGCGCGCGGCGCCGCAACAATGCCATCTGTCGGCGCTACGGCATTCACGGCGTGCCGGCGGTGCGGCTGTTCGGACCCGGCGCCAGCCGCGGGGACCCGGGCACCTCCACCATCCATCACCACCCCGGCCAGATGGTGGACGCCATCGTCGAGTTTGTCACAACCGTGCACGGCCGTCGGCGGCCGGCCGGGTGGCCCGACCTGTCGCCCTTCACGTGAGTGGTCAAAAGTAGGCCGAGACTAGAGGAAACCAGTTTCAACAAGGAAGAGGTGGGGGTAACATTATGAAGAGGCAGATGTTAGTTACTCAAAGAGAAAGGAATCATCGGAATGGGCCGTCAAATGAAGTTGTAGGAAGTTCCTCCCCTGCAACAGTAAGAAATCGTTTGGACAAGTTCTGCACGTTTAAGGGTCTCATTTATAGCCAAATTCAGGCAGGTCAGGTGCTAAGATTAGTTCAAGGATGGGTGATAGACCTAGTGTAGATTAACGTCGATGGGCCTTTGTGGCTCTTCGTTGGCCTGGTGCTTTAATGTCTTTGTGTCTAGGTGATGCTCTGGTCGGATTGCTGACTTGTAAGAGCGTTTCCATGCAGGACAAAGCAATGGGACAGACCATGAGGTCCCCTCCCCCCTGCTTGCGCCCCTCTTCCAAGATGCCTGCACTAAACATTGGACTTTTTTCAAAGGAATTCCATCCAAAATCACGGGACTTCGGACGCAATCTTATATTGCCCTCCCTAGCGTCTCTTATCTGCAGCGGGGGGGGGGGGGGGCAACCCATAAACCTTATCTATCCATTCCACCTTTCAGACGCATTTCCTTGCGGTTTTCGTCCTCTTTATGCCACGGTCGTAAGCTGGGCTGGATAGAAGATTTATAAAGGGCTTCAGCCCCTGGTTTCTCGGCATTACGAGATCAAAGTATTTATGCCGAGCTCACGACCTTTGATGTGTCAGGCATTACTAGTCAAACGATGTCATTACTGAGCAACGATTATTTTGACGGTGCTCAATATTTCGAGCTTTGCTCGAGGTGAAATTTGCTTGAAATGAGATAGTGCTTGGAACCATGCTATTATATTTTTTGCGGATTGATGATCAAGAAATTATTGTTTTCTCTGGCGAACAAGGGCTAGGCATATGCATGTAAATTTTAACCCTGTTCCGATCAACTCTGGCATTCAATTTATGAACCGCTCAATATTTTTGTAACACTCCGAGAAAGTCCGGCAACGCCCTTGACTGTTACCGTTTCATCGGAGGGACCCAATTGACCACCGCAGAGCGAAAGGCATCCGCGGCTTATCCGCTGCGGATTGCAGTCATTTACGTCCTCGCTAATTTTATTTGTTTGCATAGCACTTTCTTTTGTGTTATGAATTTCTGGTAACTTTTGGATTCCCTCAGTATAAGCCCCGGCAAATCAAAGAGAAAAATTTATCGTTTGAAAAAACCGATAAACTTGGCTTGTTAACCCGGCCATATATACGTGCCGTGGCCATGCATCCATATATATGATGCAGTGTTGGCGCCTCACTTCACCAGCACAGTACAGCAGCCTTTTGAACCAATTAGTTCAGCCGTTGGACCTTTCCCGATCTAGAGATACATGCTATTGATAAACAGTTCGCGGCCTTCCATTCTTAAGATTTAAGCCCCTCTGGCCTCTTAAGCTACACGTCCGCGAAGCTATGCATACGGCTTCGGGAAGACTATTTCAAGGTCACCCAGGCTTCCATGACGCCATAATAGTGTCATTCAAATTCTGTCGCTCTATCAGCCATGTGGCGATCAAGAGCAAAAAAAATATGATTTTCGCGGCGTTCATATCTGGCGTTTGAGCGCGATTTTCAAACAAAGCGGCTATCATTGACCCCCAATCAAAGTTGTGCAAGGTCCGATGACGTAACCAAACAGGGACGCATTGAGGAGCATGTTAACTCAAAAGAGAAGTTGTGTTGTCTAAAGCAGTATTTTTCACCTAAAACTATACCAATAGCTATAAGTGATCTTATTTGATCATGCCTGATACTTGTCTCAATACATTCAAATGCGGAAAATTCCCTTCAACATTCTTTATTTCAAATATGTGATACAGTATTGCAGCCAGGTTACACGTATTGTGGGGTTCAGGCCAGTATTTGGGGGGAGGGGGCAGATCAGCATTGCCCCCTCCCCCAAAGATATTCAAACTCCATCCCTGGAGGTCCAAGTTTTCCCCGAGTGTGTTCGGTCCCCTGCTATCAGCACTGCACGATCACCGCCGAGTTTGCCTGTTCTTGTGACTGATCTTCCAATGCATTCTCTCCCGCGCGCGTGCCTGGTTGTCTGACGCGGCGCCTCCGCCGCCGGCAGCGGCTCGCTCCAGCAGCTGCTGCGGGGGCCTGAGCCAGTGCAGGCGCTGGTGCTGGAGTCGGCCGCCAGCACGGTGGGCCGCGCCGTTCAACTGGACCTCAGCCGGCACCGGGGCGCGCTGCGGGTGTCGCGCGCCACGCGGCTGCCGGCCGGACTGGAGTCGCCGACAGCCGAGCGGCCGGCGCTGGTCGTGTTCCGCGCTGGCCGGCAGCAGACGGTGACGGCCGGCCGCGGCGAGGAGCCGCGCCAGGTGTTCGGCAGAGCGCTGCGGCAGCTGGTCGGCGCGGGAGGTCAGCAGGGCGCCGTCCCCACCGCCGCGCCGGCCACGCCGCCGCCGCCGCAGGTGACGCCGGCGCCCACGCGCGCGCCCACCGGCTCCGTCTTCATGGTGGACATGGAGAACGCTATCGTCGGCGCGCTCAAACAGGAGGTCACCAGCCACCAGAACATCACCGGCGAGAGGATGACGGCACTGCGCGGCTTCCTGCGCATGTTGGTCAACTACTTCCCAGGCCGACAGCAGATGCTGCAGTCGCTCAGCCAGCTGCTGCAGTTCGTCGATAATCGCGAGAAAGTGACCGGCGGGGAGCTGGAGCGCTTCATGCGCTCGAAGACGCCGTCGTGGGCGGGCCTGCCGGAGCTGCAGCCGTACCAGGCGTGCCGCGGCTCGAAGCCGAGCTACCGGGGCTACAGCTGCGGCCTCTGGACGCTGTTCCACACCGTCACCGTGCAGGCTCGGCGGACGGAGAAGCGCCTGGGCCGGGCGGTCACCGTTCTGCCGGCTATCCACGGCTACGTCAAAAACTTCTTCAGCTGCAGCCACTGCTCGCAGGTGCGTGGAGAACCGGGCGTCGCTTTTTCGCCTCGCCCAGATACCGATCCAGGTTCAGATTAAGCCGGTGTGCGGGGTTCGAGTGATTGGCTCCTGTCTCATAGGATGTTGTGAGCCCAGCAGGGAGGATGCTCAGATAATCTTCGTTCATATTTTATTTCGGTGGCCTCTGGTATCAATCGCACCATTTTGGTCCATCGGCTAGGCATCAAATATCATGGCTGGAGCCGTCACCAGCCTTCCGGCATGCGTTTTTTTTCTATCTGGGATTTAACTCAAACCTTGTAAATGGACTTCTTAAAGATTTGATTCGAACCCTTTGAACGGATGGATTTCCGACGCTGCCTGCAAGGCCAACTTGCGAGTATATTGGGCGGCTAGAACCGTACCCCTCCTAAGGTATGCGGATCAGAAGGTAGGCGCCCTCTACAGAACACGCACTCGCGCACTGTTGGACGATTTAGGATGGAACACTGAAATCATGAAGAAACATACACAAACTGACGCTGTTCCACACCCTCATACACGACCAACATCTACTGCCAACAAACGTTACTGTACTTCTACATGACATACGAGCACTTGCAACAGGACGCCCACTACGCAATGCAATGACGCTCACATTACCACCGAACAGAACCTCAACATACCAAAAATCCTATATTTCATCAACTACGAGAAGATGGAACCAGCTCCCGCTTGAGGCATCATCTCTTCGGTCTTCTCGTTCCTTCAAACGGGAAGTACACCAGCGCTACGTTGTGGCCGCGCCTCCGGTGTACCACAGCTTTGGATCCAGGCATGGTAACATCCTAAATACTGGGCTGAGATGGGAATGTCAGACCTGAATGCTCACCTGTTCGAAATTCAAAATCCAACTACACCTAGTCCCTCTTGCTTGTGTGGCTATCTATATGAAGACCCTTAGCACTTTGTGCTGAACTGTCCTAGCTATCATGAAATCCGAATTTCAGTGCTACGTAAAACAGATCGTATCATTCCAAACTTTTGTGATTTCACTCACAACGAGCAACTAAGTATCTATCTCAGAGGTAGCGATTTACAGGATCGCAATGGGCAGCAGATAGCAAAAATTTTCTAAACATTTCTTTTTCAGACCGACCAAACGATTCGCTTTAAAACTTCCAGCGGGCGCAGGCAGCAGACGGGCCACTGCGTGGCGTTGCCGGGCCGGGCGTCCGCCGCCGGCCCGGGACGGCTGTGTGTGTAGACCGGAGCGGCGGCGGGCGCCTGGCCCGTGTCGGCTTACAGATTGGGCGAGTGGGTGGTGTGGCGTGGGTTCCCTGGCGGCGATGACCATATCTAATTATTGATAGGAGAGGCGCTCAGATTCAAGCGCTCCGCTTATGTGCCAATCCACTCATCATATTATGTACTGGTTAATGTCCATAATCGAAAATAAACATCAAACCAACTGAGCTATAGGCATGAACGGATTGTCTGCGTCTGTATACTGGCTCGGACTTGAGAATACAGTTCCACGCACGGGCTGATAAGGCTGTCTCCGTGTGTTCCAGCATTTCCAGCGGATGGCAGCCCAGGACGGCTTGTTCGACGTCACCAACGCGTACGACGCTGTGTTCTGGCTGTGGCGGGCTCACAACAAGGTCAACAAACGGCTCGCAAACGACATTACTGAGGACCCACTACACCCCAAGATCCAGTTCCCCGACCAGAACCTGTGCCCATCCTGCATCGTAAACGGTCGCCACGACCCACAGGCCGTGCTTCAGTTTTTGGACGCCTTTTACGGCGCCGAAGCAATCCGACCCGATGGATTGGCCTCGTGGCCCGTACCTGCCGTGGGCCAGTCCATCCCGCAGCAGTCGCCGGCCCCCTCGGCCTGTCGCCGCGCCGGGTGGGTCCACTGTTGGCGTACCGGGGGCGGCCGTTCAGCCGGCCGGAACGGCGCAGCAACCGCAGAGGGTGCGCGTGGTCTGGCCGTTCCCGTACCCGCGGTCAGGCACCGGGCAGACCAGGACCTCCCCGAAGGTGGTGTACGGACGGCCGATGCTGGTGCGGGTGGTGCCCGGCTCGCTCCCTCCGTCGTTTGGCACGAGATCCCACGCACCACACATCGTCCAACCCGGCGCGGCTCACGCACCACATAGGGCCTTCCCACGCGTTGTGCACGCGGGGCACAACGTGTCGGGAGCCCCGCTCAGTGCGGGGCAGTCGTCTCACGAAGGGCTCGGGATCACGCGACCGCTTCTAGTGCCCACCGGGAACCGATCGGGCTTTCCTATGGGGACGCAGAGCTCGGCGGACCACGTCAGGGTCTACTGGGTCCCGACCAAGCAGTAGCGACCGATCGACTACGTCAGGGTCTACTGGCTCTCGACCAAGCATCAGTGAGCAGACCGGCGAACGTGTCGAGTATATCGCATATTGTCTCAATTTGATGCGCAGGTCCGGGCTGGGGCAGGTCCAGGTCTGGGTTAGGGCAGGTCCGGGCTGGGGCAGGTCCAGGTCTGGGTGGGGGCAGGTTGATGGGGGCTAGGTGGTGTGATGGGCATCTTGATCCTGATACAAGTAAACAACACGAAATTACTAAATGTTGTCTGGCTTTTGGTGAAGCTTATTCCAATGTTTACATCTCTTCAAGTAAACCAAATCTCTTCTTCGCTCACTTTAACGCGAGTAATCATGTAGCAAACGACAGCACTGCAACGCACCTCGGTTCTGGAAGGGGAGGTGAGGAACACTAATCACGTTGATTTCGGCACATGTTGCGATGCATTTTTATCGGTGAATACCTTAGAACTCCGGTGGCATCAGTGAACGGTTTTATTGTTTTTTTCGTGACACTGTCATATATGTGTCACAGCACAAAAGCGTATGGCTATAATTTGCATAAATGGGTTATCCCCGAAGTGTCTAGAAGAGTCATGAACCTCAAGATGCAACTTGATGATGATGATGTTTCTGCTATAATGTATCATAATAATCAGGCGCAGAAATCTGTGAACGCATTTGATTCATCTTTTATCGTTCATACATATCGCATGGTCTTTTAAAATGAGACTGCGGGCGCATGGAAGATTGCCGGCGCAGCGTTTCTCAAACATCATATGTAAAGTGTATCAAGAGATTCTTCGGAAATAATACACTGAAGTTAAGTGTATGGCAATGAGGAAGCCCTCAAAACCTCGCTATTCTGTGCTTCCATATCCGGTGAGTTGCATGCTTTCGTTCGTCAGATTAAGAACGTTGGTAAAATATACAACATTCTAACAGCATTGACTTCGTTTAGATCTGGAGAAGGGCGGCAGCTTCAGGTGAAGAAACGCATATTTTGGCATCATTCATTGAGACAACAAAAAAGGGCAAAGTGTTGAGGAACCATCACACCACATCCTGCATGTATGGGAATTGGGCCATGCAATTTACACGGAGTCGAAAATAGTTGGCCCGTTTAATTAACCCAAAGTTGAAAAGACCCGGCGTGGCAATGCAAGCGCACGAAATGTTGCACGCCACTTGCGTAATAGCGTTGATTTTACCGGGAGTAATGAGCTATGCCCCAATCTGTTGCAAAAACCTGCACGCCCGATGACTGTTATGCCGCCTTTCAACGTTCACGTTTCTTTCAAAAATCAAAAAATGCAATGTAGTTAATAAGGGCGCTTGCCGCCATTATTTTCTCATTTCATTTTATTTAATGCAGCTTTTATTGTGCTGGACTGTCGTGTAAGACTGAACACACTGGATCTATTTTCCTCCCGTCGTTTCGAAGCGACCAGCAAGTGTATTTCATGTTTGGCTTAATATTGCACGAGACACCGCCATGACACCGACGGTTCATTGTACCGCATTCCAACTCCCAACACCTGCCTTTCAGCACAATCGTCTCCGCTGCTGAGCTTCGGTGACTGCATGCACGTGGTGTCGCGCAGTAGCAGAAGCGCGACCCCATTCGTGGTGTCGAGCGGTAATGTGACCCCACTCGTGGTATCGAGGAGTAGGGTAACACTATTCGTGGTGTCGAGCCGCGACGTGATACCTCTCGTGGTGTCGAGCAGTTGCGTGACACCATACGTGCTGCGAACCATCGTTGGATGTTAAAAGTGCTTGACATAGAGGGGTCCACGCGGTAATGTCTCACAGAGAACAAAGCCTAATGGACACTGGACTGTCGGCTACTAACGTCCACGCGCGGCTGGGCAGCTTCAGAGGACAATGTTGCTTTGTGGGCCGTGTCGTGACTCCTCCGTTCAGAGCCGACGGCCGACAGGCGCGGCCACTGGTTCGTTCGCTGAAATGGGGAAGCCTCTTTCTTTCGATGCTGATCTATTTTCAAACAGTTTAAGTCCATGTATTTTTGGTAGAACGCGTTCCGCTTCCAGGAAAAGAGGGTGTGGCGTGGAGACCGCTCTCTGCCTCGATCCCTATTGTTGTTGGTTTGGGTTTGAGGGCGCCATAACCGCTTGTTATTCGGTGTCCTGAAATTCGGGTTCGGTGTCCTTCACGCCTTTGCGGCCTCGTGCCATGCCACGTCCAGCCAGTCCCGGGGGTACAGGGGGTGTCCTGTGCCTGGTAGCGGGTGCCGCGCCGTACCGCGCCCCGTCCGGCCGGTTCCGGGGGTACAGGGGGTGTCCTGTGCCTGGTAGCGGGTGCTGCGCCGTACCGCGCCCCGCCCGGCCGGTCCCGGGGGGTACAGGGGGTGTCCTGTGCCTGGTAGCGGGTGCCGCGCCGTATCGCGCCCCGTCCGGCCGGTCCCGGAGGTACAGGGGGTGTCCTGTGCCTGGTAGCGGGTGCCGCGCCGTACCGCGCCCCGCCCGGCCGGTCCCGGGGGGTACAGGGGGTGTCCTGTGTCTGGTATCGGGTGCCGCGCCGTATCGCGCCCTGTCCGGCCGGTTCCGGGGGTGCAGGGGGTGTCCTGTGCCTGGTAGGGGGTGCCGCGCCGTACCGCGCCCCGCCCGGCCGGTCCCAGGGGTGCAGGCGAGTGTCCGGTGCCGGGCGGCTGTCCCGCGCCACACCCTGAGCCTTCTGACCGGCCGTGACTACTCACGCACGTCAGTTGGCCGTTGCATCGACCCGACGGTAGCTCCGCCGTGACTGACGCCCGTCGGCCAGTTATGAGCGCGCTGCAGCCGGCGTGGCGCCCCGAGCTGCATCACCAGAGGCGTGCGCAGGACAGGGGCACGCCCCGAGGGTCGCTACCCCTCGCTCATCGCGCACGCCAGCAGCGAACCCGCCAGCACGACTTACCCCAAAACACCATTACCCCCTGAGAACCGGTCAGATTTGCGCCCTTGTTTTGTGACGTACACATAATGACCATTACCGGCATGCAGTTGGCTCCGAGCGGTTTCCAACAGGTGCCGGGGGCCCGGTGGCCTCCCACGGCAGTGGGGTGACACAGCGAACCTCAGGGCAGACGTGCGCGCGCGCGGACACGGAGCGGACGCAACACGAGGACCCCCACCGACGGCAGGTGAGAGGGACCAGGATTTCGACGCAGCAGGCTGGAGTGCGTGATATTTGAGAGCCACGTTGGTGGTGCCTCAGTAAGGCACGCGTCGCTAGGGGTTTGCCGTCCAGAGGCAAAAAGATAAAAAGCGCCATCAGGAAAATTGTTGAAAATAAATGTCGTTAGGCCTCCGTGAGTTAAACGTGCTTAAATGCTTTAAAAAAATTGGCACGTATTTTGGAGACAATTTTGCTAAGTTCTCATATTTCGTCATAAGATACAGTTTTTCAACCTGCAAGGAACGATGTGAATAATTCCATTTCCGAAAAATAACGCTTAGCCCCGTTTGTCATTGCATGGCAGAAGTGCAGCGGAATTTTAGACGGCCACCGCACGGAATACACGAATAGGACCAGACGAGATAGACGCGGCGGGGGGGATGGACAAGGAGCGATGGAAAAAGCAGAAAGAAGAAAAGAATAAAGATGGAAAATAGCTTTGTCAGGCATAGTGATCAGCTCGTGATTGTGTGCAATGGTTTAGTTAAGCGCTTTTGGAAAGTTGAACATGCACACAAGATTCAAAAAAGCTTTATGCTTCTGGCGCCTCGATTTGTGCCGATTCTGTTTATTCTACGTTACCTTCAGCACGTGCAATGCTGAGTTATTTTGACCTATTCCTGACGTATTACAAAAAAGATACCTGAAAACAGTGCGGCGGGGCGACATCAAGCTTTGCAGAGCCGTGGATAAGTGAAAACGCGATCTTGTGGTGCACAAAAAAAGACATCTCATTCAGGGCCATGGACGTGTAGCGGGTTAGTCATGTCGTGGTTGTCACTGAAGGAAATTCTTAGGTCAGCGTTCTTCATGTGATAGCAAAGTTTTGGATGAATTCCTGTAACCTACATGTGATTTGTTACGGCGGATTTCAATCCGGATTCAAAGTCATAACCTTGAACTTGGGCCCTTGGTCAAGTGATATCAAGCTTAAAGTCAAACAGTTTTTCGATGGAAAAGCTTATCTCATGGGGCAGTTCTTGGCGCACACTTGGAGTCCTTGATCACAAAAGCATTTACGGGTGCTTAATGTTGACTTGAGGAAGGTCAGTGGAGGTCAGTGACCTAACATGATTTTGATCTACCTCTGCTTTGAGGTACTTGCCGTCAAGAGATATTTTGTTGTTAACTTGTGCTTCTAAAATTCATAAGGTGTTATTGACCTTAAATGACCCTAAATGGTATTTGCTTGAAATCTGAATAAAGGCGTCAGTTGGTTGCGTGCGAAACGCTAATGCAAAATATGTTGCGCAACATTGGCATAAACACAAGAACAAGTACAGTAAAAACTAAGACATGCTAACTGTGTCCATGCGTCCAAGTAATTCATCGGACTCCATTTATAGTATTACCTATATCCTGTGTATTAGGCACATCCAACTTTGCTTTTTTATTCAATGAGGTCGATTTGCCCCCCTCCACCCCACCCCCCTCCCCCTCCCCCCAACTACGGAACCTATCGCATTCAACCGGCCTCCCATATGAGTGTTAAAGCGAGTGCTTCACATTCATATGGGGTTTTGAATTAAAATAGCCATTTTGAAGACCCTTCAGTGCAGTTCACAGCCCTGCCAATCTTAAGACCTACACCCCTCTAATTTCTGAGCTACACTCCCTCGAAAATGCGGAGAGTATTTCGGAGAGAGCATTACAAAGTCACCTTAGCATTCGAGACGGCATAATAACTTCATTCAAATCATGTCACTTCATAAGCCCTGGGGTAATCAAGGCCGAGAAAAATATGATGGTCGAGTAGTTAATATCCGGCGTCCGTGTACACGATTTCCAGATATAAAGGTCGTCAATAGGCTTTCAATCATTGTTGTGCAAAGTACGATGACGTAATCAAGCCATGGCGCTTTAGGGACATATTTACTAAACACAGAATTGTGCAGTCTAGAGCAGTCTTTTGCACTTGAAAAGTATATCAATAGCTATAAGTGAGCTTGTTTCATGACATCTCACACTTGCTGTAAAACCTTCAAATGTGAAACATTCCCTTAATGAGCATTATGATGATGATTGGGGTTTTAGGGCGCGTCGACTTTTGTCGTCGGTCATTTTGCGCCTTAATGAGCGGTAGGGGACATCACACCCCTGGACAGCTTTATATCGTAAGCATGCCTTGAGTTATTTATCGCGTTTGATGAGCTCAGTGGTGGTTTGCATGCCTCTCGTCTGGAAATCGCTGACATGGACACGCAATCTTCGAAACATTTTGACACATGCAATTACCTTACGTACAGTTATAGTTATGGATATATCGCTAGCATTTCACTGGCACGCGTTAATACCATACTATGTTTAGGGTTTGCTCTACTTATTGCCACAGCCGGTATACATATGAAGTAATCACGACGTATATTGAATTTCCAGATCTTGCATGACCCTCTAATTGGCTCCGTAGCTAATCTCCGTCACGCGCTCAACTCTAACGTTAAAGAGGCTTTCGACGTCCCAAGGTCCGCAATTATGACCGTCTAGGAGGCCGTGCGGTTCCTAGAACGACAGCATTCGTACTGGCACTTAAATCGATACGAGGAGCATTACCTTAGACAAGTTGGTCCCAGCTGTGCTGACTCACCGTCGCGAAGTGGGCCTATGTGTTCTTGATTGCCATTTGGTTAAAGAACTTTGTTCAGGGGTCGTGGTGTAAGCTCACGTGGTACGGGTAAATATATTTTCAAATGGCGCACAACGGAGCTCACGGAGCGAACAGTGGCAACCCATTCACATACGGCTCAAATGCTTGTTTAAGTGGTTTAAGTTTAAGTTTAAGCGTGACACTTTTGTTGTTTTTGCCCTGACGTGCAAAATCTCGCATAAGGTACTTTTGGCGGAGAAACTGCCAAAAGGCTGACTTGCAGTCCAAGCCCTTCAGAACAAATTTATCTGTTGTGTGCTATGCCGAGCTTTTGATTACAACGATGTGATATCAGTCATGTGTGAGCTAACAAGTTTCAGATAAGGCTCTGCTTTTGGACTGATCAAGGCCATGCCTTGTAGGCAGCCAGAGAATGTCCGTTCTCAAGTCAGGCCCAAGTAAATCACATCTTAGCTTTCAGCTACACCGCCATAGCAAAGTCATTCAGACGCTTCCAGCCCTAATCCAAGCCCGGCGAGCACACAGTATTCCCACAGTCAGAATCGGCCGCCAAGTGGCTGAGCGAGAAGGGGGCTGCCGTTTCAAACAGCCCCCAACATGTGACCTGAGGGGCGAGCCGTGGCCCGCATGAGTCATGTACGTCGTTCCAGCGGCGACTGTTGTCGGCGGCGACCGGGGGTCCCGAGGGACGGCAGCGGCCGGGTCGGCGGCAGTGACCGGGGCCCGGGGCGTATCGGCCGCCCCGTCACCGGCGGGGACCCGCCATCGATCCTCGTTAACCGGCGCCGCCGGCGGACTCCGCTCAGGCCCCGCCGGCGGCATGCTCAGCCTCTACCGCTACTACAGCAGCAGGCGGCGCGTCGACGGCAGCTCCGACCCGTCCGACCCGCCGGCGCCGGAGCAGCAGCAGCGGCAGCAGCAGGCGCAGCAGTGGCACCAGGCCTGGCATCACGGCCACCAGATGGGGTCGGCCAGACGGGGCAGCAGCAGGCCCCTCGTCCGGGTAAGGTTTGTCGTGTATTTGGTGCTGTTTGGGGGATGGCTTGAGAGTTGTCGCTAGCGCAGCTTGTGGACGAAATGCTGACGCTATGATTACGTTTGGCGTTATTTGAAGCATCATGTTCGACTGATGCTTCAAATAATGATAATGATGAAACGTCACGATACAAATACGCCGTGCCGAAGCTGCCTGAATGTGAATTATTGAGGCTAAGTTATGCGGTATAGCCGGCTTCGAAGTTGTGTATCGTTGGTACCTTACGCACGCGGAAGTGCTAAGATAAACATTATGAGTTCTGCTTTATTTCTTCCATCATATATTACAAGAAGGAATGCTACCTAAACACCAGACTGAAATAATCAAAGTAAGGGAATGAGTTTAGGAAGTTTCGAGACGTCTGTCACAAGGCTTGAACAGATTTACGTTGGGTTTTTTTCTTTCAGAGCGTTGGCAAAACTCCAGGATTAGAAGGAAAGCATTTACAGGAAGTAATAGTCACTCTCTGTGCAGCTCCGTTGTTTACACCGTATGCTTGCGGATGTCTTAATTAAGTGGTTGTTTAACTTTCTGTCATAACATGTGCCCTTTGATACTTACATAATTCACGCAGCAGATGCTCGGGCAACGTAAACTTGTTTTTGAAGCAAAATTCGTAGAAGTGTTCTGAATGCTTTGGGCCGACCTACACGAAATCAACCGTGCCGGACTTGAAGTGAACATGACATGAACGATGGCTTGTGTGCGTTACATGCATGCAGGTTTTAAAAAATGGATGCCAGCGCCTCCCGAAATTATGTGCCTTGTCCCGCTTACCAACATCATTGTGCTGACATGACACGTCTGGTCCGCACTGGAAAGTACGCGACGAAGCAACCATTCACGAGTGATCAATAGGAACTCCGTCAACAGAAGTAACTGCAGGCTATCGCACTGGGACGCTGTTTGCCCTCTGGCTCCCAGTGGCAATTTTCGATGTTTGGCTTCGTGCAAATAACTAGCGCCGACATGACCCATTGACATTCCACCCCGCATCTGGATTGATGTGTTCTGGAGCGTGAAATGCTCGCCACCGTAATCGGTAACCGCGTGCGGATGGCACGGGCCGTTTGCTGCACGTGCGTGCGATGGGTGTGTGTGTGTGCGTGTGTGTGTGTACCCCTGGCGATACAACTCCCGGCGTATGGCGGCGTCTCAGTCAGGTCAGGGGATTTGACCTCCCTGCATATGCAGGATAGAGTTTTGTGGCTTTTCACTGGGTTGGTGTCAGTCGAGTTGCGTTAGCATGCGCAGTCGTACCTGATACATTCACACACATAACCTGAAACTGCAGTTGAAACTGCGTCCTTTGGAACAGGCAGCGCTTAGCGAGCATTTCATCAGGAGCCAACGATCTTAAATAAGTCTGTTCAGGGCTGGTGCTTGGGTGGTCACATCGCGTATTTCAACAAGCAATCCTCCATCCTTATAAATCAGATATGTAGTTTTTTCAGCACCCGCTTGCTTTTATACTAAGTGTTCGGTAGTCAGGAACAGAGAGCCGCCGTTGTCTATGCTGTGACGCATCGCATGCGCTGGACTTCCGTACCTCAAAAAGCGGGCCCTATTCATTGGCTTAAGTAACCCCTTCGTGGCAAATCATTGATCAATGTAGCAAAAGTTACCTGAAATCGTTTTCGTGCCCACCGCGTCACTGTTAGGGCAGATGCGCCGTGTCAAAATTATCGCATTGGTCATATCCCCTTTTGTCCCAAAGCCGAAAATTGTGCGACAGATATTTAAGGACACGGTCAGTGCTTGACAGATTCATTTAATTGCCATCTGTCACCGGTTTGGAGATCACATCGCTTTCTTACAAAAAAGACATAATTGTCATCTTTTATTGGCGCTTTTTATTGCATGCCGTTTCATAAAGTCCAACACATGTATGTACCAAAGGACCGTTACTTGGTCGATGCGAGGATACAAAAGCTTACATGAGGCGCAAACACATTAATAAATATAAACGTACACAAAGCACATTGAAAACTCGATGGTAAAAGCGTGTGGAAAATTGCGATCATTACAGGCGCATGATTCTGGTATCATTCAATCAGCCGTTGCAAGCTTCAGGCACTAAGATGTATTCCGCAACATATTCACATACGTGGCTCTTCTTCAAAGCACATCAAGTGAATAAAATACAGACATAAATGGCTTGGTCAGGCCATGCCAAGTCATACTCACAACATGGATTACTGGCCGAGCACAATGATATGACACATATACATGAATAAGATATATAGAATAAATATCATGACAGAAATTCACGAAATAAATGGAGCACCCATAACCGAGCACGGAACGGCGTTCGGTATAGATCTTACACAGATATATAAGGTCTTCTACAGATCTATAAGATCTATGTAAGATCTATAACATACTAAGATCAAATAACCGGGCACGGAACAGTGCGCTATCTATAAGATCTATAGAACGGAGCAGTAATCGGAGCTCGACCTGAGCTGCAGCACGCTGTTCCGTTGCTTCCTTCCTGTTTGAAATGTCACCTAGGGTGGAATGCTGCAGCGTAGCAGGTGAATCCTAACCCGTATGTGCGGCCTGCGCTAAAGCATCTTCTCCGGGGTCTGTCTTTTGTTCGGAGGCGTGGGGCAGCGCTCTCGGGTGTTGCATACAGCGGCGTATTTGCGACTCTGTCCGTTTCTACGATTGTTGCTGCGAGAGCCTCTGCTGCCTGGAAGTAATTACGTCGCGTTTTTAGATCGCTGTGTGCTGACGTACCAGCTAGCTTGCGTTTACCAGCTGAAGAGCATGAAGAACGTTGGGAATTTGGCATTATTTCAAACTTCCGTATGTGGCACGAGCACGAAGCTCATGTTCTTCCGCATCCGGTGCAACTGGTTTGCGCTGCAAGCACATGTCATCAACCGGCATGCGGTAACTCAGCATGGATGGCACCACGCGCTTTAGACACTTCAGCGTCGTTTTAAGTGGCCGTGTTGTTTGACGCGCTGCCATTGTTCAGCGCCCTCGATAAGCCTCACGCTCGTTTGTCGTGTTGCCAATATCAACTGATGATTAATTTACCGATGCGTCACAACGGCAAGGTTTTCACCTGCCGTATGACGCGATTGATCCACAATAACTGAGCAGAACGGACAGCATATTGATTAACTTCGCAGGAATGGCTGTTGATACAGGCTTGATACGAGCACCTGGGATCCACGGTATTCACATGCATTCCACCGTTCCATTGCCCTGCGTTCCGCCCGTGCAAAGCTGCACTAATAGTGGTATCAAGGCGTCTGCCGTGTTGGCGGTACTTGATGGGTGCGTGAGCGGACAACGCCAGTGCCTTTGGTGCCTAAGTGCACAATATTGCTGCCACTGACACCAAGAAATAACTGAAATGACGAAACTAATGCAGGTACTAGCCTGCAATGGTCCTGGTGCTGGTGTGTCCTGCTGGACTTAGCTGGTGCTCGCATGTACATGCGTGAGCACGACTCCGTAGGGCTATGGGTGTGCTGATACTGGACGGGTACCAGGTTTGCATAATTTTCACACCAGATTCGATATTCGGTGCCTCACACCAGATTCGGTACAGACGGCTGTGTAAGTGACGTCAGCAGAGCGTAATTGGCTTTGTGCAATGTGGCAGCACTCTTAGTCGGAGGGCATGTGAGCTCCACCTATCTCTTGCTGTTACCCACTTCTTCTATGGTCTGCGTTCGAGTTGTGCGGGAAGCTTTTGTACCAGTTCAGCGCGTAAAGTTTGGCCTGCAGCCGTCCAGTAACAGGCAAAGAGCCCCCCCCCCCCCCCTGCCTTTCGGGACGTCATCGAAAGATTAGCTAAAATTGTCATGTCTGGCGAGTGCTTATTTTACGGATTCTAGAGTGCACAAATTACGATGTTTGCGTAGATGAATAAGTTATGACATCATTTGAGGCTTGCAGGCCAATACTTGCTTCAACATGCAATCTTTGTAGTTCCCTGCCCTGCTTTTGCTAGGTTTCAAGCGGCTGGTTGACTGGTTTGATTGCCTGGCGGTAAGGGTAAGTCACAACATACGAGGTAACATCCGATCATCATCAGAGGTCATGTGAGGTTATTCCACAGGCGCTGAACCAATGTGATTTGTTTCGCCCACTTGTGAGAAATAAATTGTAACAGCTGCTATATTCACACAAAAATGGCTGGTATGCAGCATACAAATCCAAACAGCGGAAAAAATAGACGGATACGAAGGCCCGAGCTTGACTTAATCTGATCTTAAGAATTGCCCTTTTTATCTGATGACGGCATAATGTTTAACAGTTCATGTCCGTGATATATACAGTTGTTCATGTAAATGATGCCAAAACTTGAACTGACTGGGCCAGGTAAGTTTTCGGTCTCCATATTAGCGAGCACGCTCGATGCCTTTGAAGTCCGTCTTTCTTGAGAGTTTAGTTAGCAGATTTTCGCTGATGCACCGCTTCGACTGTAATTTACACGTCTCACCGCTTGGAATTCGGCTGCCTCTGGGAATGTAAGGCAACGCCCATACTAAGTTCACATTGAAATGGCGCCGGACAGTCATGCATGCTCATATAACTTGCATGAGATCGATGGCAAGTGCCCTATTGTACAGGAAAAAAGACAACGGCCTTGTTTCTGAACTATGCTTTTTGCTGCGATCAATGTTTCCAAGCACATTAGTTTCCAGAAAGCACGACGTCCGTTTGAACGGCCCCTGAATTTCTATGTTCCTTAAGCGTTTTAAGTTGTGAGGCTCTCTCGGTGTGCGGCCTCGCTCTTCATCAGATTCGCCAATGTCTCGGTGTGCGGCCTCGCTCGTCATCAGATTCGCCAATGTATCGGTGTGCGGCCTTGCTTGTCATCAGATTCACCAACGTCTCAGCGCGCGGCCTCGCTCGTTATCAGATTCGCCAATGTCTCGGCGTGATTCGCCAATGTTTCGGTGTGTGGCCTCGCTCGTCATCAGATTCGCCAATGTTCCGGCGTGCGGCCTTGCTCGTCATCGGATTCGCCAATGTCTCGGTGTGATTCGCCAATGTCTCGGTGTGCAGCCTCGCTCGTCATCAGATTCGTCAATGTATCGGCTCCTCTGCACGTGATGTCATGTTACATCACCGATCGCTGCGGGTCAGCTGACGCTAGGCGACACTGCAGCGCCGGAAAATGTCAATCACAAGCTGGCCATTTGCCTGACCCACCGACATAACCATAACGTCACCGCGTTATTATAACGTCACCGGCGATATAGTGATGTACTCCGCGTCTGCATGCTGGACCTCTTTCTGCCCCGCGGCTGCCGCAGGTCGGCGACCTGGCGCTGGTGTAAATCCGGCGGTGCCTATTAAAGGTCCGTCGTTCAGCACACACTAAACCTCATGTTTGAGACATGCGGCCTTGCGTTTGCTTGCGTCCTGTGTGTACCACAAGATGTTACAACATTAGTGATGCGACTCGATTCAGGTAACCTGGCAGGGGCGTAGTTTCCCAAAACTTGATCCGAGGGCTGAGTATTTAAAACATGCGAGACGTACCCGACACAAATATATCACCGAACGGGGTTTTCCACGAAGCACCCACGAATTTGGACAACCCTCATGGTAAAGTTGGGGGGGGGGCGGGCTGGTGTCCAAGTGTGGGGGGCTGACTGTATGCGTACTCAGTTCTCATGAAAGTGGCCGGTAACTTGGAAACAGCATGCAAATGATTAATATCTTTCGCCCTGATTTGCCGTTTTTCATAATCCGGACCATAAGGAGGCAGGTGGACATCCCCCCCTCCCCCGCCGGTTATTTCTAAGAAAGAGCCTGGCAGAAAACGTCAGTGAGCTTATCTGAACGATGTGTGTCGATTTTCGTTGTTAGCTCAATAACTGACCGAATTATGTCAGGTTAAAGGTCAGTTGTCCTGAAAATCAAACCTTTTTCAGCTTTATATGTTCATGTTTATTAAACCTTACCCTGTGGTAACAAGAAATCTAAAATGGCGTGTTCGTTGTTTAATTTCAAGTACAATGGTGTGTAGTTGTATATGTCTTATCATATATTCAGGATGCAACGTTTCATTCATGTAAGAAAGTGTCGACCCGCCGTGCGCATCCACAGCATCGTCCGTTGTCGCCCGCTGCCCGCGCCATCGTCCGTTGTCGCCCGCTGCCGGCGCCATCGTCCGTTGTCGCCCGCTGCCCACGGCATCGTCCGTTGTCGCCCGCTGCCCGCGCCATCGTCCGTTGTCGCCAGCTGCCCGCGCCATCGTCCGTTGTCGCCAGTTGCCCGCGCCATCGTCCGTTGTCGCCCACTGCCCTCGCCATCGTCCGTTATCGCCCGCTGCCCGCGCCATCGTCCGTTGTCGCCCGCTCCCCGCGCCATCGTCCGTTGTCGCCCGCTGCCCGCGCCGGCCGTAGATCGCCGTGCAGTGTGCCACAGTCAGATGAACACAGGGGTTGTTATATGTGGAGCGATAACGAGGACACGGCCGGTGCTGGATGGCAAGAGGAGGCAGGAGCAGGGCGAACAAGAGCCAGGGTTCATACGGTTATTGTAGAAAGGCTGAACGCAACATCTCTTTTTGATATATTTTGATGAATTTTGTTTTGTCCATCCTCATTATGTACGACTTTCTTTGTTGTGCTATCCTCTTCTTCTCTGTCCTGTCATATGTCATCTTCAGTCCTGCCTGACTTACACTGTCTCCTGTTCTGCCCTGTCATCTCCTACCCTGTGCTGTTATCTTCCCTTTATCCTGTTCTACCTTATTCTTTCTTATCTTGCCCCGGTACTGACCTGTCTTGTCCTATCCTGCTGCCCCCTATTCTCCATCTTCTGTCTCCTGGCTGCCATGTCATGTCCAGTGATGGTGAAACGTCTGCGAAGATTGGGAGACGGAAAACATTATTTTGCCGTGTTCTTTATGCGTACCTTATTCCAATGATTTTGTTTTCCCAATTTTGTCTGTAAAATGCCTTTTTCAAATCTTCCAATTCAGCATGTTACTTTCAGGTCAAGTTGTCTCATCCGGATTCTGTTTCACCCCTCCAACACTGATTTGTATTTCTCAGAAACGGTCTCAGAAACGCGAATGCTGAATAGGGTCATGCCTCAGAAGCCCAAAAGTTGCTTCACTAATTTACGCCGTTTAACCAGCATGTCCTAGAACACCGAAGGTCGTTTACCCGACATAAGAACTTTTATCTCATCACGTCAACTAACATTGTTTAATTGCGACTTCCTGCTTCTTTGTTGTCCAATTTCATCCTGCTGATTTGTCGACAGCACATACTTCGTCCCTGATGCTACCTCTCCGCACAATGTGTCTTATTTAGGTGCGCCAATTTTGTGTTTTCAGCAGTAGTTGCCTTGGTCTACAGTAAGACAGCTTCCCTGATTTGGTAGCCTTGCAACACATTTTTGCCGGGAGTGGTGTCTCTTTTTTTGTCTGTAGGAATGCTGACGCGCGCTGTAGAGCCGAAAAGGCACCTACTGGCATCTGGCCGTCTGCCTAACCCACTGACGTAATCATGACGTCATTGCAGGTCAACTGGCGCGAGGCGGCGTTGCAGCGTCGGAAGATGGCCGACTGGCAGCTGACCAGCTACCAAACCCACTGACGTAATCATGACGTCATCGCAGGTCAACTGGCGCGAGGCGACGCTGCAGCGTCGGAAGGTGGCCGACTGTCAGCTGACCAGCTACCAAACCCACTGACGTAATCATGACGTCATCGCAGGTCAACTGGCGCGAGGCGGCACTGCAGCGTCGGAAGGTGGCCGACTGGCAGCTGATCGTCTGTGTCGTCACCACCGGCCTGGTGATCATGGTGTCGGGCCTCACCATGTTCCTCGGCGCATGGTTCATACTCGGCAGTAAGTCCAACACGCGAAATCAAAAGAGAACTGAGGAATAGAAAGGACTGCTCCGCTCTCGGGGCCTGTTCATAAAATAAAGCTGAGGAACAACAAGGCCTGCTCCGCTGTCGGGGCCTGTTCATAACGGGAAGCTGAGGAACAGCAAGGGCTGCTCCGCTCTCGGGGCCCGTTCATAAATGGATGAGCAGTGCCCAAACACCGCACAAAAAGAGTGTTCACATTACAGTTGCCTTTTTGCATGGATAATGTTCCCCTGGGCAATACACATTATTTCCGCGCGATGCTGTGTCTTTTTTTCTACGCACTAAGCGGCATTGCTAGGTTTCTTGTCGAACTAAGGAACTTCTGAATGTCACTTTTTGAGATGCTCTGCATAACACCATTCAACCCCGTGGTGTGGAACTTGACGTCACCGGCGTCACCCCAGTCATTTCTACCCACTTAAGCTCGACGTCACGGAGAAAGCTGACTATCAGAGGCTCTAACGTTTGCTTAACATATACGGCTTACGAAAAGCAGGTGACAAAGCAACGTTCCTAGCACGACTGCGGCCGCTGCTTGTGTTTCGACTTAGTCGCGTCGCTGAGGCGGTAGCTGGCGTGCCTGTTAATCCGCCCGTCCGTGCCAGAGGAGGACCCGTTCATACTGATCGGGCCCGTGGTCTGCGGCTGCGGCCTCATGGTCCTGCTCATGAGCGTCGAGACCTGCGTACGCCGTCACAAAGTCGTCCAGCTGGCAGACGAGCTCAGCTCCGGTGGGTGTATCGCGGCTCACTGTGACTTTAGGTCGGGTCGTGGTTGGTCGCAGGATAGGGGTCGCAGCTCAGGTCGCTAGAGCTCTGGTCATCCAGACCGGGTCACGCAGTGACCTGGGCTTAGGTCAGTGTAGGCTATTGGTGAGCAGCATGTCAGTGCGTGGCCTCGGGTGACGTCAGTTAGGGACGTCACATGCTGATGAGGACACGCATGAAAAGACTATGAAGGCGCAATTAAAAGTGAAGCCATCGAGAGTCCTTGAAACTTTTTGTTCAGCTATGCATAAATATTCGCTTTAATCTGCGTTGCTTTGCAGATACTGCTAAAACACACGAATACCGGGATGAGGTATAAGCGCTTGCGTTGTGTTTCCATCAAGTCAGCCTGTTAACGCCGTGTGTCATTGCCTTTGTCTGCCTTTCTAAAGCTAAGGCTTCTCCAAATGGTGCACGAATGGGCCACAGAGCGCGCATGGTGGGAGTAGGTGCTTTTGTAAACACCAAACGTTCCACGCGTGTCGCTCTGTCAAAGCACGCAGCTGTTTTCCAGACGAGGAAGACGGACACTACATCGACGAGAGTCTCATCCCGTACGCGTTCGGCCATTTTGTGGAGCAGCCGGCGCCGGAGACGCAGGACGCGTCTTCAGGCGAACAGGTGGGTCGGGGTGAGGTGGCGGCTCTTGAAGAGCCCCCAGACGAGTTAGACCGGCCTTGACCTCATGGGGCGACGGAACTATGCGGTGATGACCGGGTTGTGGCTGTAGAACACTGCTGCCACGCGGCGTTTGTCGTTTGCCGGCGTAAACGTATATATAATTAATGCGTTCTTTTATGTTGGCGGTTGTCAGGCCGTCTGCCCAGGCGAGTGATAGCTCAGTAAGTTTTTTGCAGTTCCTTCTACCTGAGTTTCACTAGCCGTGCGGCATGAAAAGGCTTTGCTCAAAGTAAATCGAATATGTCTATTCGACAACGAACGTACATGCCTTTATTTCCGTTTTTATCCTGACGTAGCATGTATACTTGATTGTTTTTGCATGTTTCATTTATATCAAGTGTTTTCAGTGACTGATCAAGCTCGTCCTTACTTTTTCTTTCATGATTGGTGATGTTATGTTGATTTATCTGATTGTGTTCAATAACATTGCAACCTCATTTCTATCCAGGGCTTGCTCGTTCCCGAGCTTACTGCAGCTCAGCTCCCAACGCCAGGGTCGTCATGCTGAAGTCCGACACCGCTTTGGTTCCATGTTCCAGCCGGTTGGTGAGCTGCGTCTGGAGACTCCTCTGCGTGCCCGTCGGGCGTGCCCGCCGGCGGCCGGCGCAGCCGACTGCCTCCATCTGAGCAGCCTCTCCTCACACAACAGCGAGGAGCCGGTCCAGGTCCGGCCGGTGACCTCGATCGCCGGCGGCGGCGCCGGGGCGGGTCAGGTCAGGCGGGTGTTCAGCCTGACCGGTGGCGAGCCGGCGCCGGCTCAGATGCTGCGGCCGGGCCCGGTGGCCGGGGCTGCCCGTGGGGCCGGCACAGCGCCGCTGGGCCCGGCGGCCGGGGCCGTCCGCGGGGCCGCCACAGCGCCGCCAGGGGAGACGTCATGTTGACCTCGGAGAAGCGCTGGCGGAGAGCGCGACGACCGGGCTGGCCGGCTCAGAGCTAGTGGCGGCCACCGTGCCAGCACCGAGGTCAAGAGCAGCATCCGTGATATGGCTCGTCCACCACGACTGGTGCCGGTGGTGTATGCCGCTGCGGACAAGCTGCGAGAATGGTGGCCGGGGCACAGAACCACCTGCCTCATCGGCGCCGGTGGCCAGCGAGAAGAGACGCCCTCGACAATAACGTCTGAGGTGCCCTCTGTCGCGGCTGGCGATGTGGGAGACCACCACCGCATGGTCAGCTGTGTAGCGGTCTCAGTGCTGTGCTGGCCTTCTGTTTGACAACGCATCCGTCCGCTTATGTCGTGCGCTACTGAGGAGGTCATGTGTACTTCAGAGCTGCCCAGGCTTGGGGCCTCTCGTGCCGCTTGAGTCGCACACTATCGACCTCATTTCGTGTGGCTGTGTGAACTGAGTCATTTTACTACCCTCTGAGTGGTGCTAAAAACGAGCACTAGAAACTTGCTGAGCACCAAGGTTTACTGGAAGCTTTGTCTTCTCCACACGGCGTTTGTTTTGCTATACAAACTCTCGGCTGGCGCGCCGCTTCAGTAAATGTCTTCACGGCCGCCGCAGATTGGATTTACTGTTACTGCGGAAGCGCACGTGGATGTGTTTATGGCAACCACTCACGTCCACAGTCACGATTGTGTCACGGCACATATTGCTTGAAACATTTCATGAATCGCAGCCACTAATGTCCCACAGCTTGTGGTGTGACATCGCCTTCAGTTTGTCGTGGCACCTAATAAAATGCCTAAAACATATTATAATGAATAAAGTGTAAGTACAACAAGATGACATTTCCGATCACCCCTGATATTAAGTGACATAAGTTTAGTCTGAACAGGCGTATTGCACTATGGCACAATCCCGGATGTCAAGCTCGGTGGTCTGGGAGGGGGTCTGGGGGTCAAGCTCGGTGGTCTGGGAGGGGGGTCTGGGAGTCAAGCTCGGGGCTCTGGTACCAGGGCTCTGATGGACACGCGAGCCGTCATATGATCGCTCTGCCCGATCTGTTTTAAGGCGCGTGCTTCAAGCGGTGACCGCCATCCTGCCATTAGGGCTCCCCCAATAAAAAAATACCTGTACTTTACATCCCGTGTAATAACATCTTCTAAAAAGAGCCGGGCTCGTTTGTCATTAATGATTGGATGTTATTCCTAGAATGTGGCTGCTAAGCGTGCTGTAGATGCATGCGTTTGTGATATGGATCATTCGGTATCGTATCTCACCATACAGTACGTGTGGTGTCACCCGCATCCACCTCGTGCGGAACACCTCACTGCCGCGCAAGAGTGCAAAGTGACAGAAGCAAACATCAATACACATTTCACACAATCAGTCAGCTGACCTGGCTTCGTTGGTATCAGGTGATTTTAAGAGCTCGTCGTGTTCCACGCAACGTGTACTGTACAGCTAGCGGTGGGGACAGAACTCTTCCGAACACATCAGCGCGGCGATACAACCCAGGGTTACAGAAACAATTGAAACAATGTTGGTATTCGCATGGGTATATCTTTTTAAGATATTGCATATTATGTATGATACACGCAACAAGATACTGTTTTGCGGGCTACTACCATGCGGGACAGCTCTCCCGAGCTCATTCCAGTACTGCCCTTCAGGTCGGCACCAGGTCAATGGCTGGCCAATTAAAAAACCGCATGAACGCCTTGCAGCTGTTGGCGCGTTGCATGTGAATGTGATGGACTCTTGAGTCGTACTCGTGCCAGGCTAAAACATGCCCTAGTCGCTGTACAGATTAAAACACGTCCATGGATGGTGTCTGATGATGTAAAGATGTTCGCGTGAAAGATGTCCGCCGTGAAAGATGTCCACCGTGAAAGATGTCCACCGTGAAAGATGTCCGCCATGGAAAATGTCCGCGGTTCAGTTCGAGCGCGGGCAGACGTTGGATGCTTGGTGTAGGGACTAGAGCTGCCACTCTTTGAGTTTTGAAATACCCGCACCCACCCGCAACCATTTTGTTTCTTTTTTGAAAACCCGCACCCGCCCGCGAAGAGACTTTCCCTGAAGCCTCCCATGAGCCCGCCAACCTTATGTTCCATGTCAGGCACACGTACGCAACCTTGTAACATTATCAACACCAAAACAAGAAGCTGTAAGAAGCTTACGAGCACACCCACCCATTCAGTCACGTTTTTGTCGCGAAGAACATCAAGAGACCCCACTTTTCATTCTAGGTACGCATACTTCACCTCATCACAACATAAGTATCACCGTAAGGATCTATCAATGTAAAAACAGCTATTCTTTTACCCATTTTCCCATACGTTAACTCTGGGGAAGTTGTTGCATTTTGTACATTTCAAGATCTGGAACAATGGTATGTTTTGAAAAGACTGCTGAAGAACCAATACAAGCAATCTCCAGGCATGCAGCCCTCTTTCTCCAAGAACTGAGACTTAATTTATATTTGCCGGGGCTGCTATGATGACTTTGAAGTCAGTATACACTTGCAGGCATATCTTTTGCAAACAAAATTTGGCCATCCAAGTCCCATAGGTAGAAGGTATTTAAAGCCAGCCAGGTTGTAAATTTCTCGAAGAACATTGGCACGCACACTGAAAATGGTAGTCTCACACACAAACACATGTCATAGTATCAACGGAGCGATGAGTTTGCTCTGTTTCGCTGCGGGCCGGCCGGGAGATGTCGGCGGCCAGTGATGACCGCAGGTGGACGCCGTCGCTCCGGGACGGCCGGGAGATGTCGGCGGCCAGTGATGACCGCAGGTGGACGCCGTCGCTCTGGGACGGCCAGGAGATGTCGGCGGCCAGTGGTGACCGCATGCAGACGCCGTCGCTCCGGGACGGCCGGGAGATGTCGGCGACTAGTGGTGACCGCAGGTGGACGCCGTTGCTGCGGGCCGGCCGCTCTGGGCCGCGACTGGGGCGGCTCGTCTCAGACGGATCCGACAGCGGCCGCCCCGCAGTTTTCCCTTCCCTAATTTTCCGGCGTCACAACATCTCTCCTATTGCAGCTGTCATGGCGAATGGCATTTGAGATGTGACCGGAACGCTGGAATAAGCGACATGACCAGCACTACACATTAGGGTGTGTCGTCGAGGGGGAATCTCTTGGAATCAGCAGAGACAAAGTTTTTCCTTGGCACATGGGTTAATGATAAACTTTCAGGTCTGTCGCACCGCACCGATGTTGAAATTCGTGAGGCGGGAGCAGTTATTCTTTGATAGGCCAAAGACAACCGCATTCGATACTGGCGCCACCTATTTTACGTACTGGGATCATCCTCCAACAAGCCTGAAAGCTACCACGTTCCACACTACTGGCACTTGGCAGATTAAGCATGAAATAATATCATGAAGAGCACCAGTAAAACATTGCCAAACAGCTTTTAAGCTACCTTTTTAGTGAAGAATAC